TTTTTTTTTTTAACTTTAGCCTCAGTCCTAATGCAGTGGGCTTGGTAGTTTGCTTTGTTTTTTTAAGTCGTTTTAACTTTGATCATCATGATTTCCTGTATTGGTGACTGATGTACTTTTTTTCATCAGGTTGCAATGTGTTTTACAAGGGGAAACTCCCATCATTCAAATCGCATGTGGAGATTATCACTCTCTTGCACTTTCCAAAGGTACTTTATCCTTTATGGATTGCTTACAAAGAACTACTTAAACTCACTGCCATTGGGTTGAAACCAACTTATAGTGTGACCCTATAGGACAGGGTAGAACTGCACCTGTGAGTCTCTTGTGAGTTGTAACTCTGCAAGAATAGAAAGCCTTTTTTTTTTTTCTAGGAGCAGCTGATGGTTTCAAAGTGCTAAACTTGTGGTTAGCAGCCCAACCCATAACCACCAGGCCTCTAGGGCTCCAGATTGCTTTTTAGGGACAGTAAATGATTTAGTAGAATTTATATACTTTACCTTGTAACAGAACATAAACATGACTTGAACTGGATATGGTTTGACGCATTCATTATTAACCAACCAGCCAAACAAACAAACAAACAAACCCACTGCCTCAGAGTAGATGCAGACTCATAGCGACACTATAGGACAGGGTAGACCTGTCCCTGTGAGTTTCTGAGACTGCGACCCTTTACAGGAGTAGAAAGCTCAGCCTTTCTCCCTCAGAGTGGCTGGTGGTTTTGAACTGCTGACCTTACAGATGGAAGCCCAATGCGTACTCACTATTAAAGGAGCTGCAGATGAGACCAGTATTAGACATCGAACCTTCTCCTTTCCATAATTACTCTGAACACATTGTGTTCCATGTATTTATTTTTAAAACATGAAACAATAAAAATGTTCTGAATAATCAAAATTGTCCTCTCTGGAATGAAGACCAGACCTGGCCCACCCTTTTTAAAAACCTTCTTGCTGTTTCCTGTATTGCAAGTCAGCAGTTTGAAATCAGCAGCTGCTCTGAGGGAAAAAGACGAAGGCTTTCTTCCCCTCTGAAGAGTGCCAGCCTTGGGAATCCACAAGAGCAGTTCTTCCCTGGCCTGTGGGCTCACTCCCATTGAATGGGAGTGAGCTCACTCACCTCCCACAGCAGGTCTCAGAATCCCTCAGGTCAACCTCTGCGGTGTTACAACAAATGAATTTTTGGATTTAGGGCTTCTTTATTTTTTCCTGTTTTATATCAGAAACCATAAGGATGAGAAATGGTTAGTTGAAGGGGGGGACATAAAGAAACTTGACTTTTAAAAGGATAATTTAAAGCAGGAGGTTGATCGAGGGGAACTGACGATTAAGAGAAAAATGTCAGTAGTTGGGACAAACAAGAATATGTTTATAAAAGAAATGGAAGCTGGGATTCGACCATCACCTCCAGGTGCAGTCAAGTTGATGGTGATACATGGAGTTATCGATGGAGGGTTTTCCAGCTATAGATCACCAGGCCTTTCTACCACCGCACCTCTGGGTGGAATACACGCTGAGCTCTTGGTTAGCAGCTGAGTGTGTTAACCATTGGCACCACCCAGGCAACCCTTCCAAGAGACCTGGCTCAGAGCAACCGTATAGGACAGAGTAGAACTGCCGCATAGAGTTTCCACACCTGGAATCTACAGGAGCAAGTGACCGCATCTGCTTCCTACAGAGTGGCTGGTGGGGCCCCACAACAGGGTCCACTGTGAACTCCAACTCATCGTGACACTGTGTAGGGTTCCTAAGACAATACATTTTTACAGGAGCAAATAGCCGCCTCTTTCTCCCGAAGTGTGGCTGGTAAATTTGAACTGAAGACATCATGGTTAGTAGCCCAATAATTACCCCTCAGTGCCACCAGAACCCTTACCTGGGTTCCTACACACTGCTGCCATTGAGTCCGATTACAGCTCATACTGATTTTATAGGACAAGGTAGGGGCACCCTAGAACATCTCAGATTTTACGGGAGCAGAAGGCTCCAGAGCGACTAGTGGATTTGAATCACCGACCTTGCCGTTAACAGCTCAACTTGTGAGCCACTTTGCCACCAGAGTTCCTTATGAGGGACCCTAAACCACTGCCTTCGAGTTGGCACCCTATAGGACAGGGTAAAAACTTTAAATCTTTATGGATGGAGCCAGCCTCATCTTGTCCCGAGGTGCACTGGAGCACGCAGGGGTTTCAACTCCTGATCTTCCTGTGGGCTAACAGTTCAGTGTGAATCACAGCTATGCTACCAGGGCTTCTCCAGGGCTCCTAAACCAAAGAGAGTCAAACTCATTGCTCTCAACTCACAGCAACCCCAGAGGACAGTAGAGCGCCTCCTGTGGGCTTGCAGGAGGAGAAAGTCTCATTTTTCACCTGCAGAGTGTCCGATGGGTTCAGACTGACACCAGAGCCCCTTCCGGGATTCCAAGGCGGGGAGTAGCAAATATTTGGCCACTGAAAATCCCACTGATGTTTAAGATTGTGGATTTGCCCTTTGAAAAAATTGCCCTGTTCATTTGATTTTATCCATTCAGGAATAAATTTGAAAGGCCTTTAAATAGTTTCGTGGAGAAACAGAATTAAAAGGGAATGGAAAATGTCCACAGGCTTTTTGAAGGCCCCTCATGTGAGTCCTTACCATGTTCAAAATACTGAGATGAACCACACACGCCTGCATTCAGGAGGCACACGGTCCAGCGGAGAGGGTAGTGTCAGAAAGGAGAATGAAGTGTTCAGAGTTTATTCTGGTCAAGTGTGCTCTGGGAAGAATGGAGATTGGGAAAACAAGAAAGACTGGTAGATGTAAAAAACACAAGAAACAAAAAAAACCCCGATTGTCACTAAGTCAGTCCCAACACATGACGATCCCACATGCTACAGAGTTGAAGTGTGCCACAGGGTTTTCTTATAGAAGTTGATCACCTGTACTGCCTCCCATGGTGACGCAGGGTGAGCGCAAACCGCCCAGTTCTCAATGAATGCAGACCATGTGCACTACCGAACAAGCTTGGTGGCTGATAATAATCATGCTCTTTATAATCATCACAATGTAATGATTACATTTGTGTTAAATGATTATATTTGTGTAAAATATAATCATGTGGAGGAAAGGCTCTGTCTCCCATCAAATCCTGTACAGTTATCTTAAAAAGAACCATTTTGTAAGCATTCGTTCTCTGATACCATTTTCCGAGTCTGTGAGACACACTTAACTCCAACAAATGCCACCCAAGGAAGTGTCTTCTTGAAAAACAGGTTCCAGGTATTCAATTAACGGAAGAAACGGACTCTTTCATAACACTACGCTGTAATTCCAAATAGGATTTTAAGGTATTTGTGGTGCGCAGGCAACTAAGAGGGGCGTAGAGAAAAAGAATAGCTCCACATTGGGTTTTCGCAGTCGGAGCACGGTAGCTGCAACCGTGGGCTCAGGCATAGAAACAAGGCCGGTGAAGCGTTTCGTTCTGTGTGCATGGGGTCGCTATGGGCTGGAACTGACTGGAGGGCACCTAATAGCAGCCACAGCAGGCTTCTGATTTCATGAGCCTTTTTTGTGGGCCCTCAAGGAGATGGATTGACACCGTGGCTGCAACATTGGCTCAAATACAGGAGCCACTTTGAGGGTGGTGCAAATCCGGGCAGTGTTTACCTCTGTCATGCATGGGTTTCCTTTCCTTCAGATACAACTCAGCAGCACCTAGCCACCACGACAGTAGCGGTTCAATATCCCATGGTAATGTCTGCCACATTTTAAACTGAGTCCATGAGCATTGTCGTCATTTATTTTGGTCAAGGTGGTGAGCTTTTTGCCTGGGGGCAGAACTCTCACGGACAGCTGGGAACTGGAAGAATGATGAACTCCACCACCACACCGCAGGTTGTGGGACACCTCGCAGGCGTGCCCGTGGCGCAGATATCTGCAGGAGAAGCTCACAGCCTGGCCTTATCCATGTCTGGAAGCATTTACTCCTGGGGGAAAAATGATTGTGGACAACTAGGCCTGGGCCACATGGATGGTATGGAAATATGGTTTCAAATCTATCTTATCAAGAAGTGTATTTGTTGAATTAGAGATTAATTTAACCTCGACCTCCCTGTTAAAAATGAGTCAAGTACTTACTTTTCGTAGGCACTGTTCATTCTGATCATCTCTCTGATTTGAGGGCAGAATCAATGTAATAGGTTGAGGTGTAGTATGGACATTGTTTCAGTTCTATGTGGGGAGTCGGGGAAGAGCATTGAACCATGGGTCAGAACGCATGGGCTGGACAACTGCAGGACCTTACCAAATCACTAATCATTTATCTGTCCATCTGTCTAAACTCACTGTCATCAATGATGCTGACTCATAGGGACCCTATAGGACAGGGTAGTGTTTTGTTCTGTGGGTTTCCCAGACCGTAACTCTTTCAATAGGAAGCCGTATCTTTCTCCTACGGAGCACCTGGTGGTTTGGAACAACTGTCCTTGAAGTTAAGTTAGCAATCCAACCAGCCTCGTTGGCATAGTGGGTGACACATTGGCCTGCTAACCGAAAAGTCAGCTGTTCAAAACCACCAGTTGCCCTTTGAGAGAAAGATGGGGCTTTCTACTCCTAAAAAGAGTCTTAGAAACCCACAGGGACAGCTCTACCGTGACCTGTGGGGTCAGAGTGAGTCAAAACTGACTTAATGGCAGTGAGTTTGGGGTTCTATCCATCTCTCTTTCTACACACACGCACACATACACACTCATTTCGGTGAAGTGGCAAGTATGGACAAGATGATCTCCAATGTTTCTTTGCACTTAAATGTCTACTACTATAATAATAATACCTATTGTTAAGCTACCTCTACAAAGCAGATGGCAAAGTTTCTCATGTAATAAACCTATCATCCACTGCTCATTGGTCCAACAACACATTTCTCAGTGACATGGCCCAATGCTAATTACATGAGGTCACCCCTAAGCCAGTGTTAGAACCATTGTTAAAAGAAGAGAAAGCAGCAAAGGGCTAGCTCAGCTGTGTTTTGCAACATCTTCTCAGATGGACAGTAACTGAGGAGGGAAGAGGAGGCAATATGAGGCAAGGATGCTATAGTGGAGAATTTACTAAAAAGATTGTGTATGTGTGTGTGTGTTTAGAGGACAAGGTCATCCTAAATGAGCATTGGAAATATCAAATATGCTGCAGTTAGAACTAATCAAGTCAGGTTCAAACAGAATAGGCTCTGGGAAACAATTGAACCTTTCCTTAGGTAGACTCTTCCAAGTGCGTCCTACCCTGACCATTGGCCTAGAACCTAGGCCTAAGTGTGCCAACTTGGAGCCTTTCTTGTCAGACAGAGGTATGACCATGGTCTTTGCTGCGCTGAGGCATCAGTGCAGGTGTCTTACCAGCAGCAAGGACCTCCACAGTGAAACTCAACCTGAGCTTTTGGTCACTTCAGTGTTTCTTTACCTTGTATAGACGAAGATTTTCCTTCCCTTATCGAAGAGCCAGATGATCAGGAAGTTGAATTTCTCACATGTGGTGGCTCTCATAGTGCCCTGTTGACAAAGGTAGGTGTACTGCGTTGTGTGTCTTTCCAGCTGCCAGTTTGCAACAATCACGTTGTGGCAAGGAAAGCAGGAGACTAGGTGGTGGGGGCAGCAGGTAGGGTTTGCCAAGGATGAAAGCTCACTTCTGGCGGACTGTAATTCTGATCGTTTGACAGCTCGACTTAGAGTGGTTTGGGTAATTTTTCACTAAGCAAAGGTTGGTACGTCAATATTGTTGCTAAATTCTAAGGTGAAATTCTCTGTCTTTAGGACGGGCTAGTGTTCACTTTTGGCTCTGGAAAATGTGGACAACTTGGGCACAATTCAGTGCGAGATGAGCCAAGACCTCATTTGGTGACTGAGCTCATCGACTATAAAGTGACCCAGATAGCATGTGGCAGGTAGGTTGTTAAGTGGTAAGAATGATACAATACATTTAGATAGATACTTTAATAAAATGATTCTCAGTCTCTCTGACGGGGGTGTAAGTATCAAACATAATTAAGTGTCTAGACAATCCAAATAAATCTCAATATTAATATGCATGTTCCTTTTTAATGAAGAAATTGAATTAGCTTACTGCTGCCTTTCTAATGAAATACTTTTGTAGATTTTCTGATGCAATTTTTTTTTTTTTAGAAAAACAAGTATTTATTTTATGTCTTTGCGGGCAATAAATGAACACAAATCACAAAGGATTATTCATTGATACAATCATCTTCTCTCACAATTCCTCCAGGCCTCTAAACTAAAACCAAACTCACTTCCATCAAACCAATTCTGATTCATAGCAATTCATAGGACAGAGTAAAACTGTGGATTTCCAAGACTGTAAATATTTACAGGAGTAGAAACCTTCATCTTTCTCCTGAGGCACGGCTGGTGTTTTCAAACTACTGACCTTGTGGCTAGCACTTCAACTTGGTCTCCATACTTTTGACAGCCATAGGTCTTTCACAGTGGCGACATCAGCAGTAGTTTGAATGGCACTTGCTATTTTATGTACTTTAAGTAAAAGAAAACATTTAGGTCCAATTCTTCACTAAACATCATTATTTTCTTCTTGTATATTTAGGGTCAGCAATCTATTGCTTACCAGTGGGGTGTTGGATATTGGTGGAAGACTTCCTCTTCCTGTGGACAATTGTTTCCTCACTAAACAAACAAATCCACACTCTGGCAGAATACACGGTTTTACTGTTACTATAGACACAAAAACCACAATATTTAAACTCTCCATCGATGGTGTGACCGTGTAGCCTCTCTCGTGACCACAGAGTAAAGTTACATGAACGAATATTAGATAATATTAGAATTTGGGGCAGATATTTTTTGTTTGCTGTTTGCATCAACCCAGAAGATCATTAGTAATATTAGGAGAGAAAGAGCCTAATTAGAAATGTCTTCGTGCAAACCTGGGCAGTGTCCTGACTGACCCGAAGAATGGTTGAGTCCTTTGTGGGAAACGGAGATAGTCACTAATCGTTTCTTAGGGTCACGGCAGGGGGTGTTAAGAGGAAATGGGAGCTAATATTAATGAGAACAAGAGAGAATAAAATGTTCTAAAATGATGTGGCGATGATTGCGCAGCTTTCTAATATGTTGTTTTAACAGATTAAAATTCAAAATAAATTGTTGAATTATATGATATGTAAATTAAATGTCAGTAAAACTGCTATTTTTTAGATCAATGTAATGGTGGTATTTGGAAAACCAAGTGGAAGCTCAGAGAGGGTCACCTAATTTAATCTTCTAGAATGGAGAGAGAAGGGAGTCAAGGATGGTTTCCAAGAGGCAGTGACTCTCAATCTAAGACTAAAAGACAAGGAGAAAGCAAAGGGTGGTGATTAGCCATGGCAGAGGAAACAGCGCGTGTAGCCGCCTGAGAAAGGCTGGCATAGAGTTAGACCACCACCAGGGGTCAGCCGAGGCAACTCAGACACACAGTGTTTCCAAGTGTGTGCAGAGTAGAGCTGAGTACCAGAGAGGTTTACATGGCTGGTTTTCTTAAGGAAATCACTAAGCTGTTTTTTTCTGAGGCATCTGTGAATGGACTCAAACCTCCAACCTTTAGAGTAGGTGGTAGTGTATTGTAAGCTGTGATCAAATCTGCTTGGATTCGTGGTGACATTAAATAGAGCAGAAGAAAAACATAGGAGTCACAGAATCAGCCCAGCCACAGAGAAATAATTTGTTGGTTCTCCAATGGCTCATTTCACCTCCTGGGGGCTGGTTAACGCTTCCATTCTTACTGGGTAGCCTAATTTCCGCAGTCGACCATATTGCTACAGGATGGATGATTGAGAATTGACCATATGCTCTTCGGTACGGGCGATTGGGAATTGACCTTGTGCACGTTTACTTACTAGGTCCCACACACTTGCCTATGTTTCTGACTCGGGAATGGTCTTTTCCTTTGGTTCCGGAAGAGAAGGACAGCTGGGAAACTGTGGAACGCAGAACCAGCTGAAACCACTTCCCATGAAGTTGCCATCCAAAGAAGACCTCACATTCGGTAAACTCGTGGAAGCACAGCATTTGGCCACACATCCACCTAGAAAAATGACTTTTCCTAAGTACATAATGTGATAAGGGCAATGATGCATGACTAGGAAAGGCATTTTTCCAACCCCTGGTTTTATAGTTACTTACAAACAGTTTAAAAGAGTCAACCTAACTTATCAAGTCAAAATAAATCTCAAGTTTTCTCTTACCCCTTCCGATCAGAATTAAGGTGAACTGAAATGATATGAAAATAAAATATCCCTTATGGATGCAGAAGCACATGCAACTCTAGTTCCAGAGGCAACGCTGTTAGGTGCCACCAAGTCGTAAGCGACTCACAGCCACCCTGTGAACAACAGGGAAACACTACTCAGTACTGTGCCAGCTCACCATTGTTGGCTATTGTGTTAGGCTGGGCTCTCTAGAGAAGCAAAAAGATGGAGCGAGAGTGAGAGTGAGAGCAAGAGAGGGAGAGAGAGAAAGGAAGACAGGAAGGGAGGCAGAAATTTATATCAAGAAAATGGCTCACACAATTGTAGAAGTGGGTGAGTGAGACGTGGCCAATTAATATGACCCTTCTAGCCATAATTTCTTATGTATTACAATTTTGGACTGTATGCCTGTAGCAAAAGTCCCATTTTGAAGGGAGTTCCCTACTAATAGACAGGATTAGTTCCATACGAATGGGCAGGATTAAGGTGGGCTTTAATTCCTGACCTTAGTAGAGGGTGTCAACCAAGGCACACCCTTTGTTTCGTTACCTTGGAGGTAGGGTCTGTCCAAGCCATGTCTCTGTGTATAAAAGCCATCTCAGAAAACAGAGAGCTCCCAGGACTGTCCGATGAAGAGTATGTTGCAGATCTCCAGCTGAAGAGACAGAGGCACCAGGGACTGTGGCACGGAGACTGTGGAACAGAGTTAAGGAGCCAGGCCTGGAACAAAGACTGAGGCAAGGAACCCAGGAGGCAGAACCCACGGTTAGCCTTGGCTCCGTGGCAGTGAGTGGAGTGTGGTAGTAGAGAAGTAGAGTGGCATGGGAGGAATGGTTGGTGCCAGAAGAGGTAAAGAAGGATGGAGCCTGGAGGCATGCCTGCTCCCTGCTTTGTGGCAATAGGGAAGACATAGGAGGTCAGATATGGCCCCATCCTACTGTTTTTGCGGTAAGTCCAGTCCTGTTCAAGCTCATGGGTCAGACGTTAAGCGGGAAGCTTCTGCTAAGTCATGTGGAAGTTAACAAACCAGGAAGCAGGACGCTGAGCCAGGAAAAGGAAAAGGGAAGGTCACAAGCCGGTACTAGGGAGACAAATGAATCCGAGTCGAGCAGGTCAGCTTTGTGGCTGCGGAGTCTAGTGACTGGAATTTCCCCTCAGTTCTTCCAGCTGGAGAAATGCTGAGTGCGTTCTCTCCTTTTGGTTGTTGAACTCCAGGTCTTTCTGCATTTCATTCTAGTGTTTCACTCTGCCTTCTCAAGCTGCTCTATGAAATTTGTTCAGTTCTTTTGCCTCATCAGTTTTTCCTTTTAGCTTTATCTACTTTCAAGAGCAAGGTTCTGACATCTAATCTTTCTTTTCCTTTCTGTCGCATGTTTTGATGACCTTTTATTAAAATAATCTTTTCACAGTCTTTGACCACTGGTGTCTACTGGATCACGTTACTTTTTATTCTTCTAAATCTGCTCTTGAGATGGTTTCCAAATTCAGGTAGAAGAGACTCAACTTCAGATTTTGCTTCTAATGGGTTTGTTTTCATTTTCTTTGGTTTTAATTTAAACTTGCCTATGAGCATTTGATAGTCTGTCTCACAGTAATCCCCTGGCCTGATTTTGGGTTTATGATATTGGGCTGCTCCATTGTCTCTTCCCACACATGTAGACATTTGATTCCTGTGTACTCTACCTGGTGTGGTCCACATATATAGTCACTGTTTTTGTTGTTGGAAAAAACTATTTCCAATGAAAAGGTCGTTGGTCTTGTGAAAGTCTATTATGTGATCTCTGGTATTATTTCTATCACCAAGGACCTATTTGCCAACTACTGGTGCTTCTTCTATGTACCAGTGAAGGAGCGCTGGTGGTGGAGGGGGTTACAAGTTGGACTGCTAACCACAAGGTCATCAGTTCCCATCCTCTGCCACTCCATGGGAGGAAGATGTGACTTTCTACTCCCACACACAGTCACAGTCCTGGAAACCCACGGGGGCCGTTCTGGCCTCTTCTGTCGAGTCCCTGAGTCAAAATCAACTCACTGGCAACTTTCACATTCTAATCATCCGTAATTATTCATGAATTTTGATTATACGTTCAATCAATTTCATATAGAATAAGTTGGTTAAAAAAAACTTCGGTTTATTTATTTTGGGAACTAGTAGTTTATCCATAAAGTTAAGTAATAGTTGTCTGAATTGATTTATCGTATTCCCTGACAGCATTTTACATGAGGATAGATCTTGAAATGTTCTGTTTGTTAAAGAATGTGACAAAATGTACCTTCCAAAAAAGTTGTCATTTCCAGCAGAGCAGACCAAATGATTGTCTAATTCAAAATGGTCCATAGCAGTCCACTTCAGTTCAATAATATTCAGGGTATCTGTCTTCAATCATTTCATTTTTGCTCCTTTCCAATTTTCCTAAGTTCAGACTTTATACATTTCAAGTATCCATTCCGAATGAAAGTCTACAGCTGTTTCTTCCCATTTTGAGTCATGCCATATATGCAAATGAAAGTCCCAAGGGCGTTGCTCCGTCCACAATAAGCTCCTCTGTTGAGGAGGCAGCTCCTCTCCAGTTGTATTTTCGAAACTTCCAACCTGAGGGGCTCATCTTTCAGCATGCATCAGACAATGTTACTACCGTACTATACGAGAGACATTAATTCCGTGATGCTCGTTTATGTGCCTGGTAAAACTGATCCATGGTCATGTAGAATACATGATGGTAAGCAACAGACAAATGTCGAGATCTATAACCGTATTCAATTTTTTAATGAATTATATCAACCAGTCTTCTTAAACATTTTGGAAAATATGTTCTATTCTTTTCATTTTACAGGAGAATATGGAGACTTTGTTACCTAAAACGTTAACTAGAGTCTTGCAGGAGATAAGGTGTCTAGCTGGATTTGAACTGCGAGCTCAGAACCTGAACCCTAAAGCATAACTGTACTTCTGTTACCTGTTTCTGAAAGTTTAGTGATGACTTAAAATAACAGAATTCGCTCGGTTCTTCTATAGAAATGAACAAGCATTTCCACAAGCAGTTTATACTGTATCTTTTGGGGAGCTCCTTGTAACTAGTTAAGTGACCCAGATGGTGCAGTTGGTCAAGGCATTGAACTGCTAACCAAAGCATAAGGTCAGCCATTCAAGCCCAGCAGCCACTGGGCTTGTGTGTTTTCATGATGATTTACAGTCTTGGACACACTAGGGAGCAGTTCTACTTGGTCATACTGGGTTACTACAATTTGGAATCAAATGAGTGGCAGTGAGCTGGGCTTTGTAACCCCTTAGGTAAACTTGAAGTGCTTATTTATAGTCAACAAAACCAACAGGCATGCTTAGATCTTGAGTTTTATGACAGAAACGTCATTCGTGAGAGTTGAACTCAACTAGGGGACATTCAAATGACCAAATATTTGTTTGACTTGTCTTGTATAGGAACACTTACATTAATTATTCTTGTTAACCGATGCCATATATCTTCCATATGAATCACTTGTATTTGTCAACCAGCCTTTACTCTGAAAGATAATATCTTTGTTTCTTAATTGCTGGGAAATGGATTGGATTTTTATGTGCTTAAGAGTGAAATCATTAAGTCAAGAAGAACCTGAAATTATTTAAAGTGGATGTGCCCCTTTGTGCCAAATGATTTTAAAAATCCATACCTTTTATATATCTCTTGCAGAACAACACAGCTCAGAAAAGGAGTTGATTTTGGTTGCTGGAGGAAATCAAAGCATTTTGCTCTGGATGAAGAAAGAGGTAAAAATAGATCTCATGTTGCCATGAGAAACAGCTCAGTTGCTACCAGCTAAGAGGTTGACAGTTTAAAACTGCCCAGAGGTGCCTACAGAGATAAGCCTGCCTGGCGTTCTGCTTTCAGAGGATCGCAACCTTAAAAAGCTCATGGAAGAGTTGTCTCTGCATGCACTGTGAGTCAGACTGGACTCTGGCAACTAACAACAACAACAAGATGTTCTATAGCAAAAAAAAAAAAAAGATGTTCTATAGCTTGGGATATAAACAACATAAAAGGTTCCGTAATCCGGGCTTGGTGAATTCCAGAAACATCAGGTGATGAGGCTGAATCTTTAGAATAGAATGTGGAGACATTCTCGATCTTTTACTGTCTTTGAGTAACCATAAAAATCAGCACAGATGTCCCCAGAGGATGGTCATTTAGTGCTTGCCTTAGCATCTACTTAGTTTTCTTTTGAGGAGAGAGTTTACAGGGTTTCTTGCTGATGACATTTAGTCAGTGTCTAAGTGAGCCAACAGTTGGAGAGATTGTAAAATGACTTTCGTCAGGGGAACCAGCCTCCAATAACCGAAGGGCCAGAAGGCACAAATGTACGGCGATGATATATAAAGATTACAGTAATGTCACAGAGGATAAGACAGCTAGGAGAGAGACTAGAATAAAGGAGTCAGACACATTTCATGGTAGCATGCTCACCTCAGCTTCTCTTGATGGACCACGTGCAACTGAACGTGTTGCAGAACTGGAAGAAGTGAGAGTGAGTATTTATTATCTTGGGATCTTTACAAGTAAACTTAGGACGTGCATGTTCAGTAGTTGGATACATCACAAGGTGGGCGATCTCTTCACTAAGGGTCCCTGAGCTCACAGGAGAGGAAACCTAACCCCTGTGTGGAGGGAAGGTATAAAGGGGTTGGGTGTCACGGTGGGAAGAGAGAACAAAAGGATAAAGCCTGCTTCTATAGGGAGATACAGTCAACGATGTGCTCACTTGAAGGCAGCATAGCCGTCAGGGGGGAATCTGTGGGAAAGACTTTTAAAGCAGGATCATGTACCCGGACCTTAGCTCTAACTTACCAAAGGGGAGGCTTTCCTACCGTGGAATACCAGCTTTCCAGGTTCCCTCAGTAATAAGTTAGGGAATAGAGTCCTCGTCATATTTCCCTCAGTGTTAGTTTCCCACAGACTTTGCCAACCACTATCATATAACCAGTGCGCAAGCCCCTTGTCCTACTCTGCCAGGACAAAACTCGCCCCTTCCCCTTCCACAGACAGCCCTTTTAGGGTCTCTCAATGCTCAATTTCACCTGAGTTTATCTCATTCTACAAAGCGAGTGTTAGCCCACTCCGAGAAATTGATTGGGGATCGAAGCCAGGCTCCATGGGCAAGAAACGGGCAGCCAGGGAAAGGACTGAGGGTTCCTTGGTCGAATCTCCCTTTCTGATTGTCCCAGAGCTATGTCACCTTTCTTAGGAAGCAGCATTGCCCTCTACTCCTAGGACATCTTTGGAAAGTTGGACATCTGGCGACATTTGTGTTAACAGGTTATATTGCGGTTTTGTTTGTTGACAGAGTTCCTATGTTAATCTGAGGAGGAAAATCACGACGTTGAACGAAGGCACTGTAAAGAGGTGGATTGGTGGTGTGAGCACCAGCCAGCAGCACAGTACAAAAAGGTCCATCCCCTCTGTCTGTCTCCTCGTGTGTCTCTCTAAGGCAGTGTTTCTCAAACTGCCTCTGCAGCATGCAGAGATGTGAGGCTCTGTGGTCCCTGTGGACAGCTTTGTTTACTCCCCTGGGTCCTCCCCTGGGTCTTTAGTGTGCTTTTGTGTATTGTGATTATCTGCGCAAGAAATGTAGTCTACAGCATTCCCAGCTCTCTTTCAGTACGCAGCCTCCTGTGTGTGCCTCTCCTATGCACAGCGGAGGAGTTTGGCCAGCCCCTACCCTGTAAGCCATAGAATGCCTACTTTCTGTTACTCAGCTTCATGCTTGCAAACATTGTCAGCTCCATTCTTATGCATAGCTTTCTAATTCTGAGAAATGGTTGCACATCTCAATGTGCAGATCGTATGATTGAGATGCTCCAGCCCTAGGGGCACAGTGGATTGCCCATTGGGCTGCTAACCACAAGATGCACATTTTAAAGCCACGGTTTGGGAGAAAGTTGAAGCTCTCTGCTCCTGTAAAAAGTTGCAATCTGGGAGGGCAGTTCGATTCTGTCCTGTGGGGCGGAGTTAGGTAAGAATGGACCAATGGCAGTGAGAGAGAAACCAGTCCCCCGGATGATTTATGGCACTGTTTTGTTTCTACGTCCGTGCTACCAAACAGAAGTAAATAGAGGCTGGGGCGCTGCAAGGAGGACAGTGTTTTATTTGCCCACAAAAATACTGATGTTGAGGCAAGTCTTTCTTCTTTCTCCATAGCGCCTTTCTGCTTCCCGTGTGCGTCCCTGAAAGGGACAGAATTTTTTCAAATGCAATAAGCTTTTTGGATGTCCATGGTACAGCTTTCATGCAAACATACGGGAGAAAGAAGTTTAGAAACCTGTTATGAGATGTTTTGCTTACCACGTATCATGGCATACAGTAGGATTGTCCTGATGTAAGGAAGGATTCAATAAGAATGTATTCCTTTTAACCACTGTCTTATTTCTGACACAGGGAAATCAGAGAGATATTTTCATTTCCCGCTTGTCTGACTGGGAGTTTTCTAAAGACAAGGTAATACATAAAATAACATTATACTGAAAATACTGTGGAAGTTCTAAAAAATGTTCTACCAAAAATGCTTGTAATTTTAGATAATATATTCGGTTCAGGGTATTATTTTTCAAGGATCAAATCATTTTATCTCATTTTAAAATTTACTTTCATTTAAATCTTTGTTTTAAACAAAAGCGAATACATGATCTCTGGAGAAAATGTCACAATTAAATATATTTCTTTATATATCCTCTTATCTATTTTTCCTGTTTCCACAGACAAGCTGCAGAACCAATGTTTATTCACTTGGATTTAAACAAAGCCAGAGACACATTTAAGGAGCTAAACAAGAAGGACTGGATTGCTCCCGTGGTACTGTTTTTCACATTATCTATTTAGAGAATATAGCACATTTCATCTGAAAGATTTTGTTTGAGAGATTCTCAGAGACCTTATGGTGTATACAGCTTAAGTAAAATTTAGCATTCAAAAGTTTACCCACAGGCTAAAAGAATTGGTGTTGTATTTGTATATATTACAAATAGTCTAAATAGTTCATTTGGAAACACACACAAACACACACACACATGCCCACACTCTACTCCAGGGAATCCTTTCAACATAGGGCTTTGGGAAGAGAAGTGATTAAAAGACTTGTAGAGATTGGCGCTCCAGAATAAGAACAACATTTATATTAAAAGTATTTTAGTATAACCGTCACCATCACCAAGGAACTGCCTGGATTCTTCCATTGGGCATCTTCCTTTTTGGTAGGTTCCAGAAAGTTCTTATTGCTTCCTTGTTTCAGTACCATTAATGTTTTTTTCCGTTTTATACCTGAAGCTCTCTAGATGTGCATTCTTGATTAAGTTAGCTATTTTTAAATCCAGCATTGAAGGAACCCTGGTAATGCTGTGGGTTAGGTATTGGGCTGTTCACCGCAAGATTGTCAGTTCAAATCCACCAGCTGCTCCACAGGAGAAAGGTGAGGCTGTCTGCTCCTATAAAGATTTATAGTCTCAGGAACACTATATAGGGTCAATATAATTTGGAATTGACTCAATGGGAGTGAGTTTATTAATTTATTTTTCTGTTCTGTCCTATTTTTCTGCTTTTTCTAGGAGTGATCCTGTCAAGGTTCTTCTGGCTCCCTATTTTTTTCTGTCTCACTCTGGTGTTTGCTCTGTCTGTCTGTCTCTTCCTCTGGTGTACACACATGGACATAGACTTGCTCCTCTTCAGTTTACCATTGCCTTTTTATGTCACTCCTATGTTTCTGTATCTTCATCCTCCTTATTCCTCAGTCATGGTCTCTCTCTCACCCATCTTGTAACTCCCGCTCCACTCAGCTCCCTCACCTGTTCTCTCGCTTTGTCTTCCCTAGTCTGCAACCTGAATCTTACCTGAAAATTCACTCACACACACACTCCTTTCTCTCAAACAGTGTTCAAAAGTTCAATTTTGTTAACTTTGACAGCACTACAGTTGAATAGGGACCCAAGGAAAAATGGATTACTAAGTATGCCATGCCATCACACTTTATCTGGTTCCTTCAGCATTTAGTGCTACTTACAACATAAACCAAGAACTAAACTATAGATCATTTTGAAAACATTAATTCTTGTTCATTTTCTGTAGACTCTCTAAAATATAGGGGCCAGTTTTCATTCTCAGTAAGATTCTAGGTGATTATTAAAATGATAGCCATGGAAAGATTATTAAAAATAGAAGGCCCTTTCTGCTTCTATTAAGGGAAGAGGTTAGACAATTTCATTGCTAAGGTCCCTGTCTGCTACTAATTTTCCCTAGGCTGTGCCATAACACCAGCATTTAGTGTCCAGGGGACAGATTCATAGGGCACGCCTCTATGAGCAGGGATTGTTGGGTTACAGGATATCAAGGTTTCTTTCTCTTTTGATCTTATTTGAGATGGATTCACAGAGTTGCCATTCCTTCTTTTTAAACAAATATTTAAATATTCACTCTACTCTGGGTAATATAATGACGATTTTTAATAAATAATGAAGCTCATGGTTTAATAAGTTAGACAGACATAAGTGAAGTTGTAAATAGGAGACAGGTTGTGTTTTACATTCTGGGGCCTTCCCTAGTGCCCAACTTAGAACTTACTACGCATACAATAAGAATTTTTGAATGCATGCATTCAGTCAACGTAAGGACAATGAATGTCAGGTTTACCAAGAAGATTCAGAGCAAGCTAACCAAAAGCAGTAGGGGCTAACTAAGTGTCTACAGTCCAGACAGCCATGCACAATTGTGAAACACCAAAACTGGCTTGAAAAGTTAGTCTCAGTAAAGGGTTTGGGGTGGGAAGTTTGGGGGTATGACCAAAGAAGCCATTGAGATGTGTTAAAATAGAGTGATCACATATGCCTAACTCCAAGGACAGCCTCATCATAGGAATCCAATGTAATACTTTGATATTGAAAAGAAATTGTTTTAAGAATCCATACATTTAGAAATATCATTTAGCCAAGAACCCATTATAAAATCCAGGATAGAAAGCTGCTTAGTTATTTGACTTTGAGAATGTTATGTAATTTCTCCAAGGAGCAAATTACTCATCTGTAGGATGATGTTAATACATCAAATTTGTCATAGGATATGAATACATTATATATATAGCATAATATTTATAAATCATTTAGATCAATGAATGACAAATAACTCCAAAAAATCTACAGCCATAGAGTAAGTTCCAACTGGCAGTAATGCTATATAAGGTTTCCAAGCCTGTGGATCTTTATGAACACAGATAACCTTGACTCTCCCCATCAGAGAAGCTGGTGGGTTTGAACCACCAACCTTGAGATTAACAGTCCCACGCTTGCCCAACATCACAAAGCTTCCTTAATAAATGATAAAAAACCAAACTCATTGCCATCAAGTCTATGCTGACTCATAGCAACCCTTCTGTGAGTCTCTGGGACTGTAACTCTTTATGGGAGTAGAAAGCCCCGTCTTTTTCCTGTGGAGTGGGTGGTGGCTTCAAACTGCTTACCTTGTGGATGGTAGCCCAGTGCCTAATGACTGCACCACCACTAGTTTATCTTCTTCTCACTGCCTTCAAGTAGTTTCTGACTCATAGGGACTACAGTGAACCCTCGTTTATCGCGGTTAATCGGTTCTAGACCCTACCGTGATAAATGAAATTCCGCGAAGTAGGATTCCTTATTTGTAAATCAAATATTTTCGTAGTTAGACCATAGAGGACATGAAAAAACACCCTTTAGTCACCATTACACTCGTATTACCCAATTTATTAAACGAAAAAGGGAAAATACAGTAAAACATTTTGGACGTTACAATTATCATTTATTATTTATTATATTATTTATGGCATCAAGCGTGTACAGTATGAGCCAATCAGTGGCAGTAATGACAGAGCATGCGCTGTTACGCAAAAACCGCGATAGAGTGAAGCCACGGAAGTCGAAGCGCAAAGTGGCGAGGGTTCACTGTATATAGGGCCGGGATGAACTGCCCCTGTGGATTTCCAGAACTGTAACTCTTTCCAGGAGTAGAAAGCCTTATCTTTATCCTTCAGAGTGGCTGGTGATTTCCAACTGCTGAACTTGTGGTTAGCAGCCCAGTATGTAATCACTACACCATCAGGGCTCCATTTAGCTTCTTAGAAGGATTAAAAGGTTATTATTCCAACACATACCTAGTCAAGTTCCAGAATTCTGGTTTGTTTTGTTTTGTTTTTTCCCTGAATAGTTGAACTCTGAATTGGGGAAACCACTGAAATTGGATGAATTGGGAACTAGTGGATTGAGTTTGTGATTAAGACTGGTGGTCCTATGAGAAGCTAATAAGAAACTAGGCTGATTTTTGTTGTGGTGATTTTGATTGTTTAGTTTTGTTTTTAATTGTTAGTTTGATTTTTTTTCTTGTTCTAATACATTCTTATCTTTAGCAATCATCAGGTGTCACAGCCTGAGCCAGAGGGTAGAATGTAGTACTTAATATTGGGGAAGCTGTCTATTAGTTCTGAAACCAGTCCAGCATAATCCTTGGACATGTGAATTCTTCCGAGCTCCTTCCTGCATTCCAATCATTAAATAGCGGAATTCTGCCTGCTATCTACCACTCGTGTGTCAGTTTTGTCGTATTGCGGTGGCCTGCATGTTGCTGTGCCACTAGCATTTCAAATACTAGAAGTGTTACACCCCAAGTGGACAGGTTTTAAGAGAGCTTTCAAACTAAGACTGACTAGGAAGAAGGAAGATACAGCCCACTTTTGAGAAACTAGCCCCTGAAAAATCTTACGACTAACAGTAGAGCATTATTGGATAGAGTGCCAGAAGAGGAGTCTCTCGGCTGGAAAGCGCTCGTGACATGACGGCAGAAGAGCTGCCATATGATGTGGATGGAGTAAATGATAGGACCGTCATTGCTGAAGGGCACCATGCACCATGAAGAGAAACCGCTGCAAATAGCTATTAATACTTGTAACTTAGAAAGTATAAAGTATGAATCTAGGTACATTGGAAGTCATAAGAAATGAAACGGGTCGCATAAAGATCGATATCTTAATCATTAGGGAGCTGAAATGGACTGATATTGGCCATTTTTAATCAGGCAATCATACAGTTTACTATGCCGGGAGTGATAAATTCAAGAGGAATGGCGTCACATTCACCATCACAAAGGGCATTCCAAGCTATATCTTGAAGTACAATGCTGACAGTGATAGGATAGTATCTACCCATAGACCAGGAAATCCCATCAATACACCTGTTATTCAAATGTACACACCAACCACTAAAGCTTGTGATGCAGAAATGGAAGATTTCAACCAACATCTTTAATCTGAAATTGATCCAACATGCAGTTGCTATCAAACAGACAATGACTGCTGATTTGAATACTGACATTTTAGAATGCTAAAGTTGGACACAAAGAGGAAGGGTCAGTAGTTGGAAATATGGCCTTGGTGACAGAAACAACGATGGAGACTGCATTCAGCATCAAAACATACAGGAGGACCTTACCAGATAGAATGGACAGGCATGAAATTGACACCATCTGTAGGAAGAGAAGTTCAATATCATCAGCCAAAACAAGGCCAGGATGGTGTAGATCATCAATAGTTCATAGGCAAGTTCAGGTTGAAGAAAATTAAAACAAGTCTACCCGAGTCAAAAGATAATCTTGAGTATACCCCACAAATGGCAGGATGGTGTCAGAACATTAAAAGATTATCAAAAAGACAGGAAAGAAGAAAATACCAAAGTAGATGTGAGAAGAGACTCTGAAACTTGCTCTTAAATTTAAGAGTAGCTAAATGAATTCAAGGAGCTAAGCAAATTCTCAAAGGACAGCACGGGAAGACAAATTATCACCGTGAAATGTATAAACACATTTACACCTGGAATTAGAAAATCAAATTCCAAGAATTATTAGAAAATCAAAAAGGAAAGAACGCACTACGCATCCCTCCACTTGAAAGAACTAAAGGAAACGTCAGGCCTTGAGTGACAATTTTGAAAGACTCAATGGACAAAATATTGAAGGAACCAGGAAACATCAAAAGAAGATTACAAGGAATATGCGTGAATAAAAAAGAATTGACTGACTTTCGACCATTTCAAAATGGTTGATCAAGAACTAAGGTAGTGGGGGAAGAAGTTCAAGATACACGGAAACTTTTTGCAAAAACAAGGCTCCAGAAATTGACAGAATACCAATTGAAATGCTCCAGTAAACTGATGCTGTGCTGAAAGCACTCATTAGCCTATGCTAGGAAATTTGGAAAACAGCTATCTTGCCAACCATCTAGAACAGATCCATATTTGTGCCCATTCCAAAGAAAGGTGACTCAACAGAAGATCAAACAATATCACTAATATCACATGCAAGTAAACCTTTGCTGGAGGTCATTTTAAAATAATCGTCGCAGGACATCAACAGAGTGCTACCAGAAATTCAATGAGGTAATGTATTAGTCTAGGTACTTTTGAGAAACAAATCCGCAGCAACTCATGTATAAGAGAGTTGTATGTAAAGAAAGTGTGCATCACGAAAACATCCCATCCCAATACTGCCCAAACCAAGCCCAACATTAACCCATTAATCCAACACCAATCCACAAAGTCCTCCACCTCACAAAACAGAGGCAATGATGCCGACTGCAGGAGGAAAGCTGAGTCAGTGAACAGACAAGCATCTCAGCACTAGCAGGGGTCTCCACACGCCTGCTCCAGCACCCAGGGCTGCATCGGGATAGGTCCATGTGGCTTCTCCTTGGAGCTGTCTTGTAGGAAGTCAATCTTGCAAGCCGAAGCAGGGAACTGCTAAGGCAGCTGCACCCTGGTGCAACCATCACAAAGCAAGAGACCCAAGAACTAGAAAGGCGAGGCTTACCACCCATTTATCCCTCCGCCTTTCAATTAGCCCCACATGTGATTATCGGCCAGGTTGGCACAATTAACTAACTCAGATAGTATTGCTGGCACTCAAGATCATAACTGAAAACACCCGAGAAGGATGTTTACTTGTGTTTTGTTTATCATACAAAGGTATTCGACTGTGTGGACCATGGCAAACTGTGGATAACAAGATGAGGAATGGGAATTGCACTGAACTTGTGTTCATGTGGAATCTGTATATGGTTCCCCAGGCATTCGAATAGGACAAGGAGATAATGAAGGGGTTTAAATGGTGAAAACAAAACGTTCTCAAACTTATTTGGCCTACTGTACCATTTGATAGAGAGAAATTATTCAGTGCCCACCTGATCATTCAACAATTTTGAACTATAACCTGTAAACCAAGGTAAAGTGTAGGTATCTGCTTTTACAGCAGCCCTTGATTGCTCTAGCACCCCTCAAGGGGCTGTATCTCTCACTTTGGAAAACACTGATTTAAAATTAGGAAAAAGTGTGCATTTGGGCTGTATCTTTTCACCATACTTATTCCGTCTGTATGCCAAGCAGATCATACAAGGAGCTAGGTCACATGATGAAGAACATGATATCCTTTGCAGCACCAGAATTGGAGGAATGCTTATTAAAAACCTTTGATATGCAGATGACACGATCTTGCTTACTGAAAGGGAAGAGGACTTGAAACACTTGCTAATAAAGATCAAAGAATATATACAGCCTTTGATGTGGATTATATGTCAATGTAAGGAAAACAGAAGTTAACAACTGGACCAATAAACAACACCATTGTAAATGGAGAAATGATTGGAGTTGTCAGGATTTCATTTTACATGGATCCACAGTCAGTGTTGATGGAAGCAGCTGTCAGGAAATTAAACAATGTGTATTGCATTGGACAAATCTGCTGCAAGGACCTCTGTTGTGTTGAACAGCAAAAATGTCACTGTGAGGACCAAGGTGAATCCGACCTGAGTCGTGGCGTTTTCAGTGGCTTCATATGGATGTGAAAGCTGTACAGTGAATAAAGAGGACCAGAGAACATGTGAGTGAATTAGAGTGTACTTGAAGAATATGGAAAGGACCAGAGACTGCCCGAAGAACAAACAAACCTGTCTCTGAGCAAGTACAGCCAGCGTGCGCTTCAGAGAGGAGGATGGAAACTCTTGCTTTCAGATGCTCAGAACCTTTATCAGGAGGAACTCGTCCCTGAGGAAGCGTGTCATGCTTAGTTAAGTAGAGGGTCAGTGAGAAAAATAGAGACCCTCAACTATATTGACTGGCACAACAATGGGCTCAAGTCTAGCAACAGTTGTGCAGATGGTACAGGACTTCATCCTGTTGTGTATAGTGTTGCGATGAGTCACAACTGACTAGGAGGCACCAAACAACAACAACCTGTTATGGATTACAATGGTTGCCCCCAAAATAAAAATAAAAACTCTCACTTCCATCCAGTCAATTCAACTCACAATGACGCTGTAGGACCAGGTAGAATTGCCCCATGCAGGTTTCTGAGGCCATACCTCTTTATGGGAGTAGAAAGCCTTATCTTTTACCCATGGAGCAACTGGTGGGTTTTAAACTGCTGGTCTTGTGGTTAGCAACCTAATATGTACCCACAGCACCACCACAGGTCTAAAGATAAGACTTATAAATTCTAACGTCTATGTCTATAGTTGTAATCCCATGTTGGAATGAGTTGTCTGCTGTTATCCTAATAAGGCAGAATTAGTATAGGGTGTTTCTTGAGTCACTCTCTTACAAGATATAAAAGAAGCAAGGCAAATGGTGCTAGAGATGCCAGGCCACATGGAGATCTCCAAGAAACCAGGCAACAGAAGCTGAAGATACAGAATCCTTTCTCAGCACCAACACACAGAGCATCTTTTCTTAGAGCCAACTCCCTGAATTTGGCCATTTGCCTCCTAGAAGGAGAAAATCAATTTCTGTCGAGCAAAGTCATCCACTGTGGTGTTTCTGTCCAAACAGTCCTAGATAACTAAACCCAGACACATGCCTTGTAAGAGGGTAGGTTAGATGACTTACACTCACAGCAAGCCTAAACGACAGAATAGACCTCTCCCAGTGGATTTCGGAGGCTGCCCATTTTTATGAGAGTCTGTCTTTCTGCAGTCTTGGAATCGCACAGGGGCAGTTACACTCTGTCCTACAGGGTCGCTGTGAGTGAGAATGGACTCAATGGCAGTGAGTTGGGTTTGTAACTTCCTCTAGTCCCTGGAGGTCACCATAGGGTCCCGGTGAAAAGGAAGAAGGTCCTCAAGGAAATAAATTGACACAATGGCTGCAACCATCGGCCCCAGCATAGGGATAGTAGGATGATGCAGGACCGTGCAGTGCTTTGTTCTGTTGTACATAGGGCCACTGTGGGTCAGAACCAAGTCAATGGCACTTAACAACATCTTTCTCCTGTGTAATGACTGGTAAGGGTTTGTTTGAACCACCGACCTTGAAATGAGCAGCTGCTAACTCAGCATTTCAATGGACTCACTCCGTGGCAGTGAGTTTTTTTGTTTTGAGACTTGAAATGGAGTTTCTAAACCTGAGTTTCAGCGTAACTTAATTATTATTTCAGTGTCATGGAGGAAGGAAATTCCATTCTGCCCCTTGTCTCCTTGCAGTAAATTGGCCCAGTGAAAATCTGCTCTGTCCTAAGTGCTTTTCTCCTGCCCTTTGTAACCACAGATAACCACCTGTCTCATGGATAATCGGTTCAGAAACCTTCCAGTGTGTTCTCCACACCAAGAAGCCTTAGAAGTTTTCCTCCTGCTCCAAGAATATTTTGTGATGCAGGATTCTTACAACTGGGAAAGCCTGGTGGTTCCATTTGCAAAGGCTGTTTGTAAAATGAGGGACCAATCTTTAGGAGTTCTGGGTAAGATTGTTCACATTTCAAGGAATATTTTGCCTTATAATGAAATGTATAGCGAAGCTTACTTAAATAATTATAAGTCTATTCATATTTCTACCCCATAGACGTAGACTCAAACTCAACTCACTGCTATCATGTTACATTCTTAGCATAGTCTAAAGATAATGCATCAATAAATCAGTTGATACGTTTTTAGAATTTGCGGAATGGGTTGGCCATGGAGGCTTTTGTTCCCATCTTTTCGTTACGAAACATTTCAAACACAAAGAGAATCTGAGAGAAGAGTCCGAGGATACACGCTCTGCCTTAGATTCAATTAGTAACATCTTGACATATTTGCTTTATCTATGTAGAGGCTACATTTCATTTGTTATGAATTACTTGAAAGTAACTTGAAGACTTCACTCCTCCTACTTGTGTATGCATGTCTTAAGGATATGCAATCGTACCTTACCGGGACAGCATTACTACCAACAAAAATTAGCAGTAATTCTTTTATATTACCTAATACCCAGGCCATACTCAGATTTCCCCATTTTCTCTAAAACGTTTCTTGTACTTTATATTTTAAAGGATTTAGATTCATTGTCTAGTAGTCGATTCCAGATCTGTCTGTTTCTTCCAGTGACTGTACTTGCAATACACTGGAAGTTAAGTCATGGAGGCTTACTTAGATCCTTAGGCTTTCTTCCCACATTCATGGCCCATTCTTATGTTTTCTCTAGTATAGAAAACTTTGTGAAGTGATGAACAGCTATCTTAAAGTGGTTTTTTTTTCAATGATAAAAGACATTTAAAACTAAACATTTGGCCAGGGCACACATACAAGAAGCTGTGCAACCACAAACAATTCTTAATCTAATTTTCAATACAGTATATTATCTGATTTGCCCAAAGAATAGGATTGAGTTCCTCATTGTGCGTTCTCCACAAATTAATTACAGCAGTTTGTGGGTTTTTAACGGTTACCAATTTTTCCTCAGAACAATTACATTCTTATCATTTAGTTACAATTATATTCACTGAAGAATTTATTATAAATATGGTTTTGTGATGATGATATTCAAAGGTAAATAAAAAAGCATTGCTTGTAGGCTTTATATTTTTACCTAGACAGATGGCTTGCTCCAAACAAAACATGTTTAGACATCTTTGTTTTGTTAGGGTGCCTCCCTCCACAAACTCCAATCCAAACAGTGACTTCTGCCAGCATCTGCTGAGCCAGTTCAATTCAAGGCAGCAAAGGGCAGTTGAGAACGTTGTCTGGGGCATGCCAAAGGTTACTACTATCGATTTGCTTCAAGGACTCATGACAGAGGTTTATTATGAAACTTTTTAATAGAAAATGGGAAGTACACAGTTGAGAAAAAGCCAGGAGAGTTATGCCAAGGATTTTCCTCCCATCAGAGCAATGAATGCGCTGTGAGGGAGAGGAGGCTGTTCTCTGAGCATTTCAGTGAGAAACTTTACCCTAAGGACCCGTCAACCCTCATCTTTCTTCTCAGACTTCTTTGTAGTCCCCAAACTCAGAAAGCTCTGAAAAGGATGGCTCTGTCCCTTCCAGATGCCAATACTCTCAAGCGAACAGGACTCTTCAGAGAAGGGTTAGAGAGATGGGAACACCATGTTCAACGTATATAGACCTAGATGGAGGGTAATTGAGAAACAATAGGTTTACATGGTGACATTTTTGTGTAATAAAAGTATGATTTTGGAGCAATAATTTTTTTTACTTACCTTTGTATTTTTAAAAATATTTTGTCATCAGTTTTAGAAAATATTAACCATTTTTTATCAACAAGAATGTAAGAGAACCTACACTTTGTTTGTAGATATTCTCTAACAATTATATTTACCTTCTTTATATCCTTCAGAGACTTATTGGGCATCTTGGGAAAAATCTAATTTTGACAAACTGGTTCAGATGCTGAAAAAAGCCATTGTATCACAAGTGGTTTCTTGGGAGAAAACTGATATTGATCCAACTCATATTCAAGCTCTCCTAGAAGTATTGAAAAAGCTGCACAGGGTAAGGTTTCATTGAAAAACTTAGATATCTTTATTCAATAGTAAAAACACTCTGTTTTAATGGTCCTGACCCATAATTAGGTTCACATTAAACATTTCAGGTTTATATGGCCATTTAAAAATGTTATGTTTTTTTAAAAATATCATGCATATTAAAATGTGTATATAAAATATGTATCATTTAAAGAATAGTAATAAGCATTAGTGTCGCTGATATTTTAAAAAGCAGACATTTCTAGTACTTTAGAAATGCCTGTGAATCCATCCCCTCCAAACTTTACCATGATCTGGGAAGTTGGGGTAATCTTTATGATTTAAGACTGTGTATATGTTTCCGTAGATAATATGTTGTGTCGTATAGTATTTATTGAAATTTATATTAATGTAACACATGCATCTCACACTCACATATTGTTTCATCATTTTACCCATATTAATGCTTAAAGCAGCATGTCATTCAGTTTTATTTCTGTATGGTAGTGCATAGTGTGAATATACCATAATATTCTTTTCCAGTCTTCTGATGATATTTGCAAGTAAGTCAAAACACATTGCTACAAATAAAAAATCTAAAAAAAAGTCTTTGTTAAACAAAAACATCACAATGTGAAGCTCTTGTTTCTCAACACAGCCTCTAGTTTGGTCTGTACAGTACTGGAGGAGGCGTTTCTATCTCACTAACCCTTCCCTGGAGAATGCTACCCTCTGATTTACACCATTTCACAATGGTGGCACTGGCACCCTCAAAGGACTCAAATTGTGTTCTTTTTTAATGTTCTTTGGGTTTGGAGACCAAAAAAGTCTGAAGGGACAAGATTAAGGCTGCAGCGTGGATCACGTAAGATTTCCCACTAAAATTCTCTATAGAACATCCCTTGTTACCCTTAAATAATGAGAAGGTGCATTGCTATAATGGGAAAACAATTCCTTGGCACAACTTTCCTGCCCTTTGTCTCAGCCATGCAGTTTTCCTTTTTCATAATATGCCCTTCAAGAAAATCCTTTAAGATTAGTAACCTTTCTTTCTTCTTCTTTTTTTTTCCGGTGCACATCTTTTCTGATTTTTAAACCATGCAACCTCCCCTTGTTCTGTTCTAAAGATCATCCTTTGATCCATGTACAGGTTCTGCAGGCGCACAAATGAAGTTTTCTGGAATTTTCATTCTTCTCAGTGCTATTCATAGTTTGGTGTGATCCACACTGTTAAAGGCCTTTGCATAGTTAATCAAACACAGTAAACATTAAAAAAGAAAAAAAGAGATTCGTAACCTTTGGAGTCCCAAAATTAAGTCACACATAACCTTCTGAAGTGCCCTAGCTGATTTGAATTTAACTAGCTTAGCAGATCCTCTTGGAAAGCAATGCTTTGATTGAGCTATGTTCTTGACGGCATTCCAGTGAGCCAAGCCCAAACCGAAAACTAAGTTCACCCCATTCAGTTGATTCTGATTCAGACAAGTCTATTACTGGGAAGACATATCCGCAGCCACCCTCTAATTGCAGAGAAATCTTGAAATGCAGTGAATAAACCCATGCATTCATGAACTGGAACTCTATTAGCAATTGAAATTCTTTGGGGTTTGTTTTCACCCCTCCCTAAATCGCATAGACATGCTATTGTAAATATTTGTGTACATATTTCTTGGTGTTCCTGTACCAAGAGTTGGTTTGTAATGCACTTGATAGGTTGAAGGATGTGTGTGTCTTCTTCACTGGTGATGGCAAAGGTCTCTAAAGTAGTTACACACATTTAAATTCTCTCCAGGACTTGGTGAGCATTATCTATATCTTATCTTAAAATTTTGAAAATATTTTAGGCGTGAAATAGTGCCACATAATGGCTCCCGTCATATTTCCTTGGTTCCAATACAATCAGCCATCTTTTCATATTTGTTGGTTCTTTTTCTGTGAAATGTCTGTCTTTGACTTTTGTCTATGTTTAAATGGATCATTTACATGTTTCTTACTAATCATCCAACACTGCTTTTGTAGCTTGAAAGTAAACACAGGCAATTTGTAAATTAATGGTGTGGCTATAGTCCAATAAAACCTTACTTCCAAAAAATTTGGAGAAACTGGTTTGCCCCAGATATGAGTATTATAACTAAGACTCAGAGTAAGAAAACAAATGGAGAACCATATACTTTATGAAGGGTCATCAGAAAGTTGAAGAGAAAATTCCATTTTCTTTCAATTCCATTTTTCACAAACTTTTTGAATCCTCTTTGTATGTCTAAATTTTTGAAAGTTAAAAATAGCGGACAAACTGTTTTTCAAAAAGTAATATATACTATATCCACCCATCTTAGCCAATAAGCTAAGGAGAGGCCAGATTTAAATTTAGAAATAGTGGATTTTTAACATCGTTCTGGACTGAAAAATAGAGGTTTGGAAAGAGCCTTCCCTCAATCTGGGGCCCTGATGAAGCATTGGAAGCACTTACTCATTTATTCCAAGAAATTTGGAAAACTGGTACTTGGCCAAGTGACTGGAAGAGATCCATATCTGAGCCCATTCCAAAGAAAGGCAACCCAACAGAATGCTCAATCTATAGAACAATGTCATTGATATCATATGCAAGTAAAAGTGAACAAAAGATCATTCAACAATGATTGCAGCAGTACATTGACAGGGGGGTGCCAGACATTCAGGCTGGATTCGGAAGAGGACAGGAAACAGGGATGACATGGCTGATGTCAGATGGATCTTGGTTAAAAACAGAAGGCATACCAGTGAGATGTTTGCCTGTGTTCTAGTAACTATGCAAAGGCACTCTGTAGTTTGGATCATAACAAATTATAGATAATATTGCAAAGAATGAGAATGCCTGATAACTTAATTATGCTCCTGCAGAACCTGCACATCAACCAATAGAGTTATTGTAAGAGATCAAACAGAACAGAAGCTGCATTAAAATTAGGAAAGGTGTCTTTCAGAGCTTATCCTTTCACCATCCTTATTCAATCAGTGTGCTGAGCAAATGCTCCAAGAAACTGGATTAAATGAAGAAGACGGTAGCATCCTGACTGGAGGAAGGCGACGCCTAACAAGCTGAGATAATGCCGGTGAAGCAGCATTGCTTCCTGAAAGTGAGTAGGGCTTGGAGCACCTCACCGATGCAGCCTTCAGTGCGGATTAACTTCACTGTAAAGAAAACGAAAATATGCACAACTTGACTAATGTACAGCTTTGTGGTAAATAGGAAGAGACTGAAGTTGTCAAGGATTGTAGTTTATTTGGATCCCTAACCAATACTCATGAATGAAAGCAGCAGTCGAGAAATCAAACTGAGTATTACATTGGGCTAACCTGCTGCAAAAGATTTCTATAAAAGGTTAAAAAGCAAAGATAACCGGTGTTTATTCATTTGCTTTCTGTGCATGTGAAAGTTAAACAATGAATAAGGATAAGCCAAGAAAAATTGTGAACTGTTGTGAATAATGCTACAGTGAACATTGGTATCCACATGGTTTCATTCCTACTTTGGAGTCCACCGAGTATATACCAAGGAGTGGAATTTCTGGGTTAAAAAAAACAACAACCCACTTCCATTAAGTCAGTTCTGACTCATGGCAATCCTATAGGACAGAGTAGACGGCCTCTTTGGGCTCCTGAGATTTGAAATTGTTATGGAAACCATAGCCCACTCAGCACCAGTAAACAGGCTAGGGAACAAACCTCCCAAACCCAACCTGGCCTCTGCTTGAGCCCCACACAGCACCAGTGACTAAGCTCTGGAGTGCACCTCCATGGCATCAGCAACCAGGTTCTGGCAAAGCACTCCTACCCCACACCAGAGCCAGACACTAGCACCAAGGACCAACCCCCATGGTGCCAGCAAGGAGACTCTGCAACACAAGGCCCAGAGGCCAGTCTGCGTCCACCTCAGGTCCACACCTGGCACCCAGATATTTTCACAACTGCGTGCCCAGCTCTTGCTGACGACAGCTACAAAGCTCTTAGAACAAGGAAACAGTCCATCCAAGTGACTTTTTTACCCCACTATTTTTTCTTTTTCCCCTTTAACTAGCAACTCGCGCCTACGCTTTCTCTTTCAAAAACTCCCTTTGTTGTTTTCTATCTCATATTTTTTCAAATGACCTTTATTTTTTTTCTCTTTCTCTTCCTCTCTTTTTTTCTCTTGTCTCTTCTTTCTCCCTTCTCATTCAACAGTTTCTCTTATTCCATTCCAGGACCACCTGACAGAGCCAACTAACCCACATGACTCATCAGCCCACCCAACACCAACAGCTGAACCACAATGCAGTCAACATAGTACACATACATACCACCGTCAATTGCAGCAGCCAATCACAGTACAATTACACGCCCAGAAAGCCAGGAATACAAAAAATACACAGATTCAGATGAATATTCTGAAGAAAAGGCTCTGGAACTAGCAAAAAATAAAATTTTCAAAAATGGTATTCAGATACATTCAAAAATGGAGGAAATGTTTGAGAGAATAATGGCAAACAATAGAAACCCTACAGCAAGTAAAATTTCAGAATATAAATAATCAGAAAATAATAATTCAAGAAGGTGAGAGAAAACCCTACATAGGATAGACCCCAGAGAAAGACATGGCATCATATTGTAATCAAAGGACTCCTAGAGCAGCTAAGGAAAATAGAATAGTCAACTACAAAGGAAAACCAATAAGAATGAGCTCAGATTTGTCAACAGAAGTCATGTAGGCAAGAAGACAATGGAGTGACATATGTAAACACTTGAAATGAATTGCCAACCAAGAATCTTCTGTCCATCAAAACTATCCCTCAAATATAAGTGAGAGAAAAGGGTATTTCCAGACAAGGATTAATTAAAGGAGTTTTTAAAAGCAAGACCAGCATTACCAAAAATACTAATGGGAACACTTTGAACAGAGACTCAACGATAGCTGCAGAAAAACTTGAAAGCAACATACAGGACAACACCACTCAGAAATCAACACACTGAAAACAGGACTCAAAATAACACAGAAATAAAGGAAGAACAAAG